ACATGCATACAACGATATATATTTTCATGGTTAGAACTATACAAAAAGTATTAAGATGAGTTGGACACTACGATTAGTTCTCGATATATGTAATCGAATTTGGGACGAATATAGCCTGATCAACTATATTTATCCAAGATTGGACTAACGTATGTCGAGGAATGATCGTAGTAAGCAACAAGTCAAAACTTACCAAAATAGACACTAGTATCAAACATACAAATTTAAATACTATAGGAGTATTTGGTGCATACAATAGTTTAATCGACATGTTTAGTGTTACATGTTTTCAAATTTTGCTCAAATCTTATAACCCTATTCTCGTAGAGTCAAATGGATGGATTCCACCCACCAGGGGACCCCTACTACCCGAACCAAGGCAATGGAGGATGGGTAGAGGAGGATCCCGAAGAGGATGAAGAACCTATTGAGTTAGAAGAAGGGGATGACTCTGGTACGGACTCAGAACAAGAAATAGTCGACCCTCCAACCATTAGGAGGAACTTCCAGGGACGGACTCCCGTTTGGGGAAGTCACCTCCACCATTGGAGCCAACAACAAGGTATAAGTTCTCCCTACGGTATGTGTCGGAACTTCTACAACATCAGGGATGGAGGTTCAGCCAACCGAGCACTCCTGGTCATGGTAGGAAAACTGACCAACCAGTCCTATCAATCGGGGGTCCAAGCAAATCGACTTCGCAAAGTCAACGTGGAAGTACAAGTTCACACTTCCGACATCCGTCGACTGGATATGTTGCAGGATGACACCCATCTCTGCGCCGACGTATTCCAAACACAAATGATTGCAACCCTTGCAGAGTTGAGGGAACAGCAAGCCGCCTTCGATAGGCATCTTATGGAATCAAAGCAATCGGATGCGGAGTCAAGCTCCAAGTGCAACCCACGTCGCAAGTAGTGCTTGCCAAAATCCCAAATTTTGTTATAAGTTAGGACCTTGGCTAAAAGTTTTATTTTTCTTAAACCTTGTAACCGGAGACCCTTTTAGGGGTCAAATTTTCGTGATCGTTGTATCATCTATTATATTAATATAATTGGCATGCTATTATTACTACATTGAGTATTTCATTCAATCTTTAAAATATTATGGAGAAACCATACGCTTGTTTCATATATTCGGATTTACGAATGACTTTCATTCTTCTATCTTTGAGACTCATATTATCATCTGTTGTTGAACTATAACGATTTAGTTCATGAGACACATTCATTTTCTATACTATGGAATTCTTACCTATGTCTTTTCAATTTATAGTTGAAGGATGTCTCCGCGTAGAAATCTGAGATGAAACAACGGTGGGGAAGCACCGATACCACCACCGCCTCCACCTCCTAAATTTGATGTTGTCATGTTCCAAGAAGCAGTCACCGCAGCTGTGGCGGCTGCCATGTCACAGATCAATACCCCTGTTACTACTGGTTCAGGAATTGGCACACTTCCTTCTAACCATGGCGAGTCATGGGCAACCCCGAGAGTGCACCTATAAAGACTTTACGAATGCCAAACCCCGGATGTTTAATGGAACTGGTGGTGTGATGATTTTGAGGCAGTGGATTGAAAGGACAGAATCAGTCTTTGAAATCTACTCCTGTCCCGAGCACAACAAAGTCAAGTTTTCAACTTACACGCTTACTGATAGAGCTTTAACTTGGTGGAATGGCCACGTTAAGGTACTTACTCTGATAGTGGCGAATTCAATAAGCTGGGAGAGCTTAAAAATCATGCTGATGAGAGAGTACTGTCCACGAGGAGAGATTCAAAAACTCGAGCACGAACTTTGGACTCTTGGAATGATTGGTACCGACATAGCAACTTATACCAACAGATTCTGCGATCTGGCAATCCTTTGCCCAGATATGATTGCTCCTGAGAGCAAGAAAATAGAGAGATACATTTGGGGACTGTCGCCCCAAATTCAGTCAAGCGTGTTAGCTTCAAAACCTGACACTTTTGAAAGTGCCAAAGAGCTGGCACAATCTCTTATTGATCACGAAAGTCATTAGAACTCAACAATTTCTGCACCAGAACCACAAAAGGGAAACAATAATAACAATAACAAGAAGAGAGGATGGAATAAGGGGAAGGGTGGGTCTTCCCAAGAATCCTCGAAGAAACAACAATTAGTTACAGTGAATGATGCTACTATACCTACTACCGTTCCTACAAATCTCTACCCAACAAAGCCTTATGTGGGTAACCTTCCAAAGTGCACCAAATGCAATAACCACCACAATGGACCTTGTCGTGAAATGCAGTGCTCCAACTGCAACAGAAAGGGACACACTGTCCGTTTCTGCAAAGCCCTCGTAAAGCCGATCACTCAAGTTCCCAATGCTGGTGTAGGTCAACCTTGCTACGATTGTGGCGAGGTGGGTCACTACAAAAGAAACTGCCTGAAGGCAGCGAATACTGGCGGAGTGGGACGAGTTTTGGATATAGGTCACGAAGAAGTCGTAGCTGATCCTATAGTAGTTGTTGGTACGTTTCTTCTCGATAATTCATATGCATGCATACTATTCGATAGTGGAGCAGAGAGAAGCTTCGTGAGCCAAAACTTTATTCACTTACTTAAACATAAACCTGGCATGTTAGAAAAATCATTCACTGTAGAAATGGCAAATAGAAAAACGGAAAACACTAACTGCATATACATGAGTTGTACATTAACTTTAGACGGTCATTCTTTCCCAATCAACCTCATGTCGATATAGAGTAAATTAACATGGGTCGTGTTGAGTGAAAACACACCCTTCAATCCTCGATTCCAACTCTAAAGTATGATGATTAAAAATTCTCATCTGGACCAACACGCCCCATATCCAAATAGGCTAAATGAACACAGGTCGTGTTCAGTGAAGTCAAAGTGCCTGGAATGGTCAAACACGCCGCGTGTGGGATTTCTAGGCCAAACCCAACATGCCCCGTGTAGCGCTCTGGATGCTCATCCAAACTTGATTTTCCTAGTTCTTCCGGTTTTTTTTGCCCGATCATCCCGCAATCTTTACAAATGCTCCCCGGCACCTCCAAAAGCGTGCTCCAATCTCTGGTTTACCTGAAAATGACATTAAAGAGTGCAAATAAGGTTGTTCCAGAAATTAACCTAAATATGATGAAATGCAATAAAAGAAAAGAACAATTATGCTAAAACATACATAAAAAGGGCTAAAGGTTGTGCAAAAGGTGAACAAAATGCACCTCACAAATCTCCCCAAGCTTAGACGTTTCTTGTCCTCAAGAAAGAACAAGAAACAGACAAAACAAGATGATTTCTAGATGACAAAAAGAAACTTAGAACAAAAAGGGACGGAAAGGTCCTAAGAACTAGGAATAAATGCATGCAATGCAAACCATGACAAAGGAAAACAAAAATATGTACAGAATCACTAAAGAAACAAAATGTATCAAAGAGAAATTTAATGCACAAGTAAATAATCTATATAAGTACGATAAGACTTTACATCAATATGGCTCCAATCATTAATACCTAAGCAACCATCCTGCTTCCTTCCATATATCACAGACTCCCAAAGTGAGGAAGACTTGAAACAGTGTAAACCAATAATCCAACCCTAGTTTTATTAAAACGTTATACCTTACTAAGCTTTATGGGCGAAAATAACATAGTCCGGATCTCATGTCCTTAAGACTATATGGCCAAGAATCAGAATCAATGCATCCTTAAGAACCCGTCATGGCGAATCAGCTTTCGCTGAAACAACGAGCCCACCCGAAGGGGCCTAGCTCCTATGCTTTCATTTTTTCGAGAGCCACAGGTATCATATCACACAGTTCTTCATTCTCCATATTTGACTTTAAATTGGCTTTTGATTTGATTGAACTTTGATTTGTACTTCGTTTTTAACTTGGATTCTTCAATCTTCATTTTTGGAATTTCTTGAGATTTCTTCGTTTGGCACTTGAAATTCTGATTTGGATACAAGATATGACAGTTGTACCCTTCCTTCTTTCTTGACTGTGTGGATCTGATACTTAAGATCTTTGTTACTGCGGGGGTAACGCGTGTCAACAAATAGGTTTGTAATATGTGGGTCCAGAGTTGTCGATAAAGATTCATTTTATACATTCAGAAGCAAATCATCCTAAAGCTGTTATTACCACCCAAAAAATGTTTCAATATAAATTCTTTTTATTATCTAAGGCTAGGGTCTCAAATTATGGTGTTTGGGTCCCCTAGTTATGACAGCTGATTCTACACTTCTGGTAACTATCCGGTTGCTTCGGTATTTTTTTCATTTTGATTTTTCATTTTCCCACTTCATGGAGCATTTGTATGTAGAGAGTGACATCATCTCATACACTTTTTTGTTATGAATATGCATGCAAATGATGAAATGAAAGCGAGCATGCTGACCTTTAGGTTAATAAAAATAAAATTGTTTTTGGGTTTTATAAATGCAAAATGAAAGAAAAAGGAGATATATATATATATATACATATATATATATATATATATTATGATGATGCATGGATGCATGATCCTTGTGTGACTTTACCCCTCCCCAAGCTTAAAGATAAACATCATCCCCGATGCTTGGAGAGGGTGGAACAACCTAAAACGGAGGAGGAGGAGGAGGAGGAGGAGGAGGATAATAATCGGAATTTAGGGTCCAAGCCCAAAAATCTTCCTCATGTTTGTGTTGACACTCTTGATCCCGAGCGTACTGGGTAGTGAAGGAAGAGAAACTCTGAGTGAGGCTTGTAATATCTTGCTGGTAGGTGTCGAGGCGGGTGTGGATTGACTGGAATTCATCCATATACTGTTGATGATAAGACGGGGGCGCAACATAATGGGATGAGCTGGCACCACCGGTGGGAGGAGTATGGTTGGGCTCCTCCTCCTCTTCATCATCATCATCACCACCTTCCTCGTTTTCTTCACTTTGTTCATCTACCTCAGTGGAGCATGACCAGGGGGAGATGTATGGAGTAATTTGCCAATCGGTCATGTGAATAGGGTTTCAGAGATCAATAATACCTTTGTTTTCGGGTGTGATGAGGAGCTTTGGATCATGATTTTGACCCACGGTCCAGTGGTGTGTGCCATCCGCTGCCGAACGGAATAGTCGCATGGACTCAAGGACAACAGTTGTGAGATAAGGCTCACCCGGTAGTGGCTGGTGGGGACCGGGGTATGGGGCTCGAACTTGGGCGCTCATGGCGAGCATGCTGACAATACCCCCGCAATAAATCTTTCCCGATCGGGATGTGCTCAAGCGGAGGAGTTTGTGGTACAAAAATTGACCATAATGAGGAACGAGGTTGTCCTCGGGATGAGCCATTGCATAAAGGATTTTGAGCTCTAGCGCGCTGATGGTGCTTCGCTCCTCTCTAGGGGCGACGAGCGAAGCAATGATTCTATGGGCCACCTTCATCACGGGATAGATAAGTGATGAGGCATTAGCTGCGTTAGAGATGTATGGGTGTAAATGGGGAAGTTGGGTCCACCATGTCAAATCAAAGTATCCTTTAATTGGGTCAGTGGAGCCAAATGTGTTTTCAGTTGGGGCCCCAACAATGGCATTAATTTGATCCAAGGACATCTCATAATCTTGATTCATGAGATGGAAGTGGAGGCTCCCATGGACCAAATAAACCGAGGATAGAAACTCAGTTGTTGGGACTTTATAACTCAGTTTGTGGACCCTCAACAACCCGTGCCATTCTATGTTGCGAAATAGGGTTTGGACTTGTTTATAAATGCATAACTCTTTAAGGGATGGCACATGCGCAAAATTTTAGATGGTATAATCCCGCTGAAGGAATGACTCAAATTTTCCCTCTTGAATTGGGTCAAGACACACGACACCACCATAAGCCGTGTTGGGTTGTGGTGATGGGGACCTATATGGAGGTGATGTTGCCGACGTTGTGGTTGTGAGAAAAGTCGGTCGTGTTTACAGCTGTGGGGTTCGTGGTTGCTGTCGCCGACATTGCCGTTAAGCCGTTGCTGTCGGACTTTTTGTGTCACCATCGTCGTCGGGTGGCTGGCTCGGTTTATATCGCAACAGAAGGATGTGTGTATGTGGTTTTGGTTGTGGTTTTTGGTCGGATTTTGCAAGAAAGCTACCACCACCGTGAGGTGGTGGCTGCTGCCATGCACCACCGTCGGCCACCATGGGGTGGTTGTGTGTATGTTTGTCTATTTAGTGTGTGTGTGTGTGTGTGTGAATATTTTGGGTATATGCATTGTAACATGTAACTAGAAAGTGAAATAATGGAAAAGAAAACCCTAACCACCACCGGCCGCCGTGTCGGGTGGCGGTGTGCTTTGCATTGTGATATTGATTCGTTGGGATGCTTGAAGCCCTAATGGGCTTAATGAAACTCTAGTGGGCTTAATGGGGCCCAATAAAGCCCTAATTGACCTAATAAAATCTTAATGGGCCCAATAAGGCCCAAAGTTACCTAAAAGCCCAACCGGTTGACTAATGGGCTAGTATTGGGTAGGAAACCCTAATTTGGATTTGAAAAATCCTAATGGCTTAAAACCTTAATTTTGAGAATTAATTGAGACACACACGAGATTATTTAATAACTTGAAATGTTAAATAATAATCAGTGGCATTTTAACTTAAATCAATACTGGACTTAATGGATTAAGTCCTTAGTAGATTAAGTCCTTAATGGGTTTAGTAGGAACACTTAACCCTAATCATCATTTCATGTGAAAGCCCTAATCTCACTTGGGCATTGAATTGGGCCTTCCTGTTGGGCTTTGGCGATTGGAGTATTGGTGGGCCATCCAAGAGCAAGTTAATGGACCAAAGTAATTAGATGGGCTTTAGGGTAAGGCCCATGTGAGAACTTGGGCCAAACTTGGAAAGTTTGGCCATAATTGGTCCTTTATGATTATATGATATTGGATCATGGGAATTAGATTGGAATAATGGGATGGGCCTTAAAGAAAGACCATGTAGAGGTTTGGGCCTAATTTGGAAAATTGGGCCATGTATTCGGATTTGGCCCATTACTTGACTATTAGGTTTTGTAGTGTGAGTTGGACTTTGGGCTTGGAACCCAATTATTAATTGGGTGTTGTTTGATGTTGGCAGTTTGGGAATCTGTCAACCAGCAGTTGGAGTTTCATCTGTGGGACTTCAACAGTTTCAGGTAAGTTATCCTCACTATATCAATAGGGTCTAAGGAACCAAGGTCGGCCCTTATGGATTGTATCTGGTTATGGCATGATATGTTTATTGATTACATCATGGTTATAATACGTTGTTATGATATGTATGATATGTGCTTGTTGTTGATTGATTATGTGTTATGAGTATGTCGACATATGTATGTGTATGTTTGGGTTGAGGCGGTCCTGCTTTATGTTGAAGGCCAACGTACCCACGGTGGTCCAGATAGGCTAAAGGCCTGCGAGGCGGTCCAATCAGGCTGAAGGCTCATTATGCATATTGTTTGATAGGATTAGTGATCTGTTCGTTCTGCCTCCTGGTAGATAGGATGACACTATGCTTGTTGATCTGTTAGATCTGCATCCTGGTAGTTAGGATGATTTTATGTTTATGCTTAGTGACTTGGTTAGGTTGGTGTTCTGGTTATAGGATGTTGTTGTGCTATATGATCTATTAGATAGGTTTGATTGTTATATATGCATGCTAGCGTATGATATTTACGTTCACATATTTGTTTGATTGGGGGTTGGGTTGAGGCGGTCCTGCTTTGTGATGTAGGCCAACATACCCAGCGAGCGGTCCGGATAGACTGTAGGCCTTGCGAGGCGGTCCAGTCATGCCGAAGGCTCGGAAGCGATCCAGATAGGTTGTAGGCCCTACAAGGCGGTCCAGTCATGTTGAAGGCTCATGATGTATGCAGTTCTGTATTGGTTATATGATATGGTTATGTTTGTATGGTGTTGGTATTTGGGAGTAACTCACTAAGCTCTCGGGTTTACAGTTTCAGTTTATTGTTTCACGTACATCAGATGATCGCAGGAAGGCAAATGTGTGATCGTACAACTCCTCATATTTTATGTTTTTATGAATTGATTCTGGGGATAATCTGATGTCTAAATTATTTTGAAAACAAACTATAATAATTTGATGGTTTTAAAATGTATTAAAAAGTTTTAATTTGCCTTGAATTTTATGGGTGTTACATCCATACTCAAAAAGGTTCACAAAATTGCTAAAAGATGGCCTTAAACTCTAACATGGAGAGATCTAGTAATAGGAAAGTCAAGGAAGCAACTTTGTACCTTAAAGGGACTGGAAATGTAGCTTGAACCTTTGATCTGCTGCTTCCTTGAACCTTCTAGCTCATTCTTCTTCTTCCTCTAGCTTTAAAATCACACAAACCCCCTCACAAATGACTCACACACTCAACAAAGCTCAATGGACACAAGTTAGGGCGTTCTGGACTAAGGGAGACAATGGGGGATGCATGGGAGGTGAGTTAATGTGTTTAAATAGGGTGCAAACCCTAAAATTTAGGGTTTCATTTAGACAGATCTACCCGTCGAGTAAGGGCTTCCGACTCGTCGAGTAGACTCTTACATCCACGTCCAAAATCCATCCCTACTCAACGGGTTGAGCCTCCAACACATCGAGTCCTAGTATAAAAATGCAAATATTATTTATTTAAGATACATACCAGGAACCGGGCGTTACAGGGTACTTCTCGAGCCTAAAAGGAAGACAACCAATATGAAGACTGCCTCGAAGCATGAAAATAATGGAAACTAAAAGTGATGATGTCGAGTCTATGTGAGTACCTTACACTAAGGTACTACACTACTGTGATAAACAATTTTACAGGAGGAACTTTGTAAGTCCTACTTCAAGTCCTATAAATTGTTATGAGAAGTTCAAATTACACATAGAATGTGATGAGGGCGAACGAAGAAATAAGAATCCAATGTGTAATAGTTTGATGATGAAGGAGCATTATCTGGAAGGTGTTATGTGATAGAGAAATAGGAATACGATTTCACATGATGGAATATAGAAGAATTCAAATTGAACATAAAGGGTCTTATAGTGCTAACAAGGTGTGGAAAAGAATGAGTACTTGAAGTCCGTTGATAAGGACTATCAAAAGATAGTGGTGAGCAAAAGAAAATTTTGGAATTTCCATAAATGAGTTAGAGAGGAGAGCTGCTACCTTGTGAGAATCATAAAGTGATTTGAACCTTAAAAGAAATGCCCTTATTTCTTTTAAGGGTTAGATGTTAAGGATGATATACAAGTGTGATAATATGATATTATAAGAACTCGTAACACTCTGGGGGATGAGTAAGAACAACACTTGATGTTTGAAATTATAAGTGACACAAACAAACTAGTGATACAAGATTTAGAGCTTTAAATTTATGTAACCTGATGATGCGGACCAAGCACACTCAAGTAAAATTGAGTACTAGGGTTGAGTATTGCTACACTAGTATGTATACGACAACTAGACAGGAACAATTAGAATTATGATTATGAGATCTTATGTTATGAGTTACCTAAAAGATAGAACTTTGACTTAGAGCATTGTGGGTCACTTGTCTATAACCAAAGGATGCATAAATCAATTGATACAAAAGTTGTTTGTGTATTCATAAGGAAAGGGAAATAAATAGGAAGAAGTAAAGCATGATGGTACTTAAGGAGTTAAATTGACAAAGTATTGAATGGAAGAGTCGCTTACTTGATTAATAATGTTGAAGGAAACATGAATGATGAGATTATGGTAGGAGTTACATGCAATCAATGGTGAAAGGCAAGGGTTAAATTCGAGGTCCATAAGGAGTAAAATTGATCCAATGAGTATCCCTGAAGAAATAAAAGAAACATCTTGCCCCATGATGAGAATTATCTTGTGATTTAAACCTTAAAAGAAATGTCTCCATTTCTTTTAAGGGGTAGATAATCGGGAAGAATACAGTTAAAAATGATGAGATGTTTCAGACCCAACAAGGTTTTGCAAGTTGATTTGAAACAAGACCATGAGCTTTAGCACTTTTTGTCATGTTATCCTTCAGCTTGTTGGCTTAAGAAATACATTAACTTGTGAAATACAATTTTAGGTTTGACACAACAGTTAAAATGAATGAAGGGAGTTGGGGACAAAGTGCTAGAAGTATATAGGCTTAAATAGTATGGTATCATTGGTGCAAAGGTAGTAGACAAGGAGACTTATACATATTTGGTTCATCTTGTTGAGGATGTTGAGGGAAAACATCGTTAGTAAAAAAATTGTAAACATTATGGAGCGTAAAGTGTCATTTTTGTAACTATAAAGAAAGAACTTTGGGAAGAAAGGTAGAAGTATTAGTAGGAGGTAAAGTGATAAAGCAAAATGCAATGGAAGTTTAAAAGTAACCATAATTTGGAATATGTGATGCACTATAACATAAGCATCACATATTATGTTTAAGGGTATAATAGAGTGCAATGAACTGAATGTGATGAGTATGAAAAATAAAGAAATAATATTGATGTGCTTGAGCACTAAAGGATGCACTTACGCAACGTCAAATGCCTAAGTAAAGAAATGGTCAAGTCATGATTGATGGGATGGAAGGACTCGATAAAGATTCACAAATGACTTAAAGCTTGTTGGTACATGTTAGGATCTATGAGTTAAGGTTGGATTAACTTATTGTATGATGTTGTTAAAAGTTCTAAAAGGGTGAAAATGTCCAAGAGGGTTGATAACCCCTAATTATGTAGTATTGATTATTAGGCGGACTAAAATTGTGACATGTGACTTGAAGTAAAACAAATAAATAAATACGTAAAAAATACAGTTATACATTTAAAATACATAAAAATACATAAACATTTATATAAAAAACTTTAAAAAAAATACATAAATACGTAAAAATACATATAAATATGTAATGCATAAAAAACATATAAAAATACATAAAAATTATGTAAAATACTTAAAAATATATACAAATACATAAAAAAAATATCTTTATACATTTAAAATACATAAAAATATAGAAACATCTATATAAAAACTTAAAAAAAAATACATAAATACGTAATACATAAAAAATAACACATAAAAATAAATAAATATATGTAAAATACTTAAAAATACATATAAATACGTAAAAAATACTTTTATACATTTAAAATACATAAACAAAAATCTAAACATATACATATAAAAACTTAAAAAATACATAAATACATAAAAATAGATATAAATATGTAATACATAAAAAATAACACACACAAATATGTAAAATACTTAAAAATACATATAAATACGTAAAAAATACGTTTAAATATTTAAAATAAATAAAAATATATAAACATGTACATATAAAAACTTCAAAAAAATATAATAGATAAAAATGCATTTATACATTATATACAAGTTTTGACGAAATTTGCAGAATAATCTTATTATTTTGAAAAAATTAACGATTTGGTCTCATGACCTGTTGAACATTGTCATAAAGGGCTAAAGTGAATAAATGAGTCAGATTCTTGGGCATTTTTATTTAAAAAAAAAAAGTTAAAAAAATCGGTATTTTCTGTTCAAAAAATAAAATTTATGACTTTACTAAAAAAAATTCCTAAAATATTAGGACTTTTTCTAAAGATTTTCCGATATTTAAAGAGGAAATGTTGGAAGATGCAAGAGATTTAAAGAAGCCGGTGTAAGGACATTAAAATAAAATATAATATAATTTTTTGATATCGTATTATGTTAATTTTAGGTATTTAAGTTATTGTATTTTTAGGATACATAATTTTTTTTTATTATTGTGTGTTTTATTTATGTAACTAGTTGTGAGACCTGTATATTACACAAGTTTATTAATATTAAAAACTTAATATTAATATCTAATGAAATATTTTATAAAGTAATACTTTACATAACAAAATGTAATCTTTTGGAACATTTGCAAAAGAATTAAATTGTTTGGAGTATTTATGAAAGTTTATTATCAAATTAATATGATGATTTTATTTCCTTATAGAACCCATTACAATTTTATTAAATTTTATTTTAGGAAAATAAAAATTCCTAAAAATGGTAAGTGGAAAATAAAAATTTTAAAACTCCCACAAAATGACAAGTGTCAAAATAAAAACGAAGATTATATGTGGCAAAAAAAAAACATTTATTTATTAGAGAGGATATGTAATTTAATTTCCAATAGAATAATATTGAATTTTACGCAATATGTGAATATTTACATTATGATCATATAAGTAATTGATAATTATTAAAAGTACAATGCTAACATGGTCATTATATGAACTTTATAAAAGTAGGGAGGGATTGTGAGACAAGTTGTATAAAAATGGAATATTAATGTGACGATCAATTAAACTGGTCATTTAATGAGTTGAATGAGATGGAAACGCCTATCCTCATCTTATATTTACAAAGATACATTATCAAGACAAAAATGCATATTTACAAACCATTAAACATATAATATAGAATTACATGGAAAGAATGGAAACGTACTTTTTTGTTTATTATACAACATTATACTTTTATTAATTCCTGTTACATCTTTGACAATAGCAATATCATCCAAACGCAAAACAATTTATACAACTACAATTAGTTAGATTTTTCAAAATACCATATCTAAATAAGAAAAAAAACTAAAATAATAATTTTGTACTAGAAAGAAATGGAAGTAGGATATGCTACAATACAAAAATATATTAAAGATACAATGCTATAATTAAGTAGATTTTTCAAAATACAATGCTTTAATGAGAAAGTATAATGTTGAAATAGAAAAGAATGAAAGTAGAATGGTATAATACACAAATAAATGAAAGTATATTACATCATATGTTCAAAACAAGAGAGACATTGAACCTATAAAAGAAAGGCTTTAGAATCTCATAAGCTAGTAGAAACAATGACCTCCAATATCTTACTTTCAAGTTCACCCTCATCTACCCACATGGAACTCTGACGTCGCACAAGTTCACTTTTCTCTTTCTTCTTCTCCATGAATTTGTTTTCTCTCATTTTGTGATATTCAAGCTTCTGAGCTCTTTCTTTTAACTGCATCCACAAGATTTGGGAGACTTTAATCACACTCATATCAATCAAAAAGATCACAAGGCCCTCGTTCTTTCTCTTGAAAATAGTCATAGAATTTAGAAAGTTTGTTCAGTCCCATCCCACCAATTTCATTCCATGTTCCATAAAAATGGGACTCCCCTAAATGTATTTATTGTGGTACATTTAGCAAATTAAGATATAAGAACACTTGGCTTTAACTATTGGGGAAAAGAAACAGATAAGTTGTCTTTGGTGAGCATAATTAAGAAAAGAATGATTTGTCCAATCAAATATCAAAGTAGAGATGCAACAAAACATTGATAGAAAAGAGATAAAGAAATTGCTTCTAGTGATTATTTTGATCAATGACCTATATCCACATATAATCAATGCAATCAATTAGGGACTCAAATTCATGGATGTATAACTTGTTCATTGAAGTAATCTCTGATCATAGAATCATTTAATCGAGAGACGTAATCAAAATGATGAAACTGAAAAATAGAATTCACGTACTAGGGTTTGCCGGAACTCCTCCTCAGCCACTTGACGTTCAGCGGCTTTCGCCTTTTTTGCGGCGGCTTTAGCAGCTTTACGCTCTTCACCTTCAATCCTTATGGCTTCTTTTTTAATCTCGTCTTTTCTAAGTTTCTCTAGTCTCTGAAGCTCCATTTCCTGGATGTACTCCTTGCGAACCGCCTTGACCTTCATCGCGTAGTCGCGACGAAGAAGAGAGAGCTTCGCTTGAGCCTCCTTGGGATCCCTTGGTGGTTTCCAGCTGTTGATGTAGTCGTTTTGTGAGAGATATTGGTGGTTGCGTTGGTGGTCGTTATGGTGAGACGGCACGGCGGTGGTGGAAAGAGATCGGTGTGGGCAAAATCGTTGAGTAAAAACGTTTTCTAGGATTCTAGGTTTTGGAGAACGGAGGAGCACTCGTGAGCTCGCCATTAAAGCCGGCAACAGAACCACGAAGGGTTTTATGCCGATGATGGGGTTTTACCGATTACGAACAGCGACCAACTAGAGGTATAACTTGGGGGCGTTGGTGAAAATGTGTAACGTCAAACTATTTTATATTTTCTACGATGTGATGTAAAAAAAATTCTAATCTATTTAAACTACTATTTAATTTATTTATATCACTAATTTAGATTAAATTAGTCATTAATTTTACTTATCTTAATATTCAACCTTAACAAATGAAAACAACCGGATGTTTGGATAGGAAAAAAAGATGTGTTTATTGTTTATTCTCACTATAATAAGCTAAGTTTAAGTATTTTTATAAAATCCTTAAAAATCAATTTATTGTGTTGAGAATAAATTAAATAAACTAATTTTAATAAGCATTTTCCTTGCTTATTGCTTATTGTTTATTCTCACCATAAATAAACTAATAAACAATAAGCTAATAAGTTAATTCAAACACCCCTTTAATATCATTGTGTTTTTGGTTTATAATAATTAAAATTATATTAATATTTTGAATAATTATCATGAAATTCAAAAAAAATGTCAAATAGATAAATTTTAAGTTAAGGGAAATTGAATAATCTAAGTCATATAAATGAAGTCTTTGAAAAAAATAACATATTATTTTTATTTTATTTTTGTAAAATAACCTATTTATAAAAAATAAGTCATTTCAGAGAGATCCCCGGGATACCGGAGTAAGATTCCGAACAAGCGTTCTGGAATAGTCAATTTTTTCTATTGTTTTTATATAATATGTGTTTTGTGTTATTTTTTTGTTTTCTGTTTGACAAAATTGCAAAAATGATCCCTGTGGTATGCATTTTTTTGGGATTTTAGTCCAACCCACAACTTTTTTGGATTGATGGTCCTTTTGAGCGGGATTGTTTGTAGTTTTGGTCCCTCAGAAAACTGAAAAGACTAAAATACCCTTGAGGTATTTCTTTTTCATTTTTCTTTCATTTTTATCTATTTTTATAATTAAAAAATGATATTAAAAAATTAAGAAAACTCTCTCTCTCTCTCTCTCTCTCTCTCTCTCTCTCACCTTCATCCACAAATCACTATGGCTTTTATAGAATCTAGCAACAATGGCGCCTTTGTTTCTCCTTTCCTTATACTCAATACACAGATCTTCTTTCAATCCACAAATCACATCAAAAACTCGAACCACAGTTTTCCTCAGAGCAATCAATGGCACAACCATTTGTTTTCCTGCAAACATAACACTTCTTTCCCCATCTTCTTAATGGAACTTTTGAACAATCATTCCTTCTCGATCTTCTGGGTCATGAAAAAACACTTCGGGAATGAACAATGCACACATAATATGAGCCCAGAGTGCATTGTTGGATGGCTTCAAAGCTCCACCATTGGAAGGGACAAAGGTAACAAGATGAATCCTTGTTTTTATTGGTGATTTGGCATTGAGAGCAAAACCAATCACCTTCAAGAACACCATAAATGAGGGGATTACCATAACAAGTGGTGTGAACCATTAGATCACAACTATCGCAAAATACGATCGGATTTGATGGATCCCCATCTGTGCTTTGACATAAAGCACACAGAATCCCATCCTCATCCACATCTTCTTTTTCTCCATTTTTTACTCTAATCTCGTCAATTTCTTCGCCATTATTTGAAACATTTACAGTGACAAAAGCATTGTTTTCCTCCAATATCGAGTTATACTTGAGATTGAGATCAAATGGAGAACTGGGTTTCGGGGGAAGAAGACTTGGGTGAACGACGCATATACATTTTTTGGCGAGTAAACAGTAGGTGGAAGCATCACTGTGAAAAACGTCATTATGCTCGTCTTCAATTCTTCGCATGAAAAATTGTCTTAGAAGGAGACTGTGGATACACCAATGGAGGTCATCGGAAAAGAATGAAGTGAAGATTGAAATCCGTGGAGCCCTAGAACTAAGACAGAGACGTGAGATGAGATGAGATGAGATGAGATGAGAGAGATGAGAGAGAGAGAGAGAGAGTTTTCTTAATTTTTTAATATCATTTTTTAATTATTAAAATAGATAAAAAATAAAAGAAAAATGAAAAAGAAATACCTCAAGGGTATTTTAGTATTTCAGTTTTCTAAGGGACCAAAACTACAAGAAAACCAGCTCAAAAGGACTATCAATCCAAAAAAATTATGGTTTGGACTAAAACCCAATAAAAATGCATACCACAGGGACCATTTTTGCAATTTTGTCTTTCTGTTTTTGTATAATATTTGTTTTTATAAAATTTATATTGCAAATGTAATAGTGCATTGAATCTTAAAATCTACAAAAAAAAAGTAGTAAATACATAAACTTAAATTCGTTTTAAATAATAGTACAATGTTTAAATGGATTTTATCCTTGTACCCCAAAAAATTTCCGCCAATCATGTGCGATATAACATGGCCCATATATCGCTTTCACCCCCTATCAAATACGATTTCCCTGCAATTAACATATCTATGAACCAACACAAAAACACCCCACAATCCCTTTTACTGTCGGCTTGTTTTGGTACATTTGGAACCTTTTCAAGGGTTATTTTGAAACTCTAAATGGGGACAACATCATTTGCTTTTGCTATCGGTGTGGTTCCTGGTAACAAGTCTATTCGAAACTTTACTTGCCTATCAGGGGGCAATCCAAGAAGATCTCTGGGGAATACTTATGGAAAGTCACACTGGTATCTCTGCATCTCCTTCTTTTCCTTCTTTGCATCGATCACGAATGCTAGATATGATGTACATCCTTTGGTCAGACACTTATGGGCTTTTATCATGGAGATAATTCTATAATTCACTCAGCATTTGTCCCCATACACCATAAATGATTCTCTTCCAGGAAGGTTTACTTTCACCATCTTCTTTCTACATACTATCTCGACGTCATTAGTACTAAGCCAATCCATTCCTAATATTATGTCAAACCCATTTAACTTAATGGGAAATAATTCTCCGTGGAACTTATTCTCATTCAAGCCGATGATGATGTTCTTCATGCATTCGCTAACAGGTACAAATTTGCCACTAGCTACCTCAACTATTAAGGCATTATCTAGTCTATCTACAGGCAACGCTAGTCTTCTACCAAATCTATGAAAAATAAAGGAGTAGTTCGCTCCATAATCAAACAAAATATTGGTAGGAAAATCATTTACTAGTAATGTACCTGAAACGACATCTGCTTCTTCTTTTGCAGCTACCAAAGTCATCTGGAATGCTCTCACCTTTGGTTTTGGCGACACATTTGGATTTGCAGTCTCCTTCTTTGGGCAATCCTTCTGAATATAGTTATCATCTCCACAGTCGTAGCACAACCTCTTGTTAAATGTGCACACATTGGAGTGGTGACCAGTCCTTCCGCATTTGTAACAGGTCACTTAATCGCTCCATCTCCCACAGTGTTTCTTCTTGCACTTCTCGCACCACTTTCGCTTCCTTGTTTCCCCCAAACTTCTTGTCATTGGGGCCGACCTTTAAAAATCTGCTTTCTTGTTGAATCTTAAAGAGCCTTCAAAATTCATCTTCTCCCCAGACTAAGCTCTTTCCATACCCTTTTTTATATGGGTCTCAACATTTTTAGCTACCCAGATAGTTGTTTTCAAAATGGTTGCTAGCTTCACCGTTGGACCAAAATCTGTTGGTAGTCCACTAGCAAACTTGTTGATCTTGGAGAGTTCAGTAGGAACCAAATAAGGAACTAGCTTCATTTTCTCGTTAAAACTTGTAGCATAGTCGTTGACACTCATTTTGCCCTTTTTCAGTGTGACATCCCCATTTTCACGGCCAGAAAATACAGATTTTGTTTATGTTTTATAAAAATTGGAATACCTCTTTTAATAAAAATGTTGAGGAATTTGTTCCCAGTAAAACATGATAAATACATTATCAAGGCATTTCTGAAGAAAAGTATTTTTATTCATTTTAAAACATTTGGGATGTCATCGTCAATACAGAAACATAAGCATAAACAAAACTTACATTCATTATCACTAGTGATTTATATCTCATTAATCTCTCTAGGTAATGTGACTTCATATCAACACCTGTGATATAAATAAACTGAGTGGGTCAAGTTGGGAAACTCGGTGAGTACATAGGGTTTTCAACCCACAATAATATAATTATTATGTTTAAACATCAAACAATCAATCCAATTACCCATCCCCATTATCTTCCTTACTCTTAAGGGTTTGCCCTAAGACTCATCTATCTTGCATTCATTCATTTCGAAGTCCCTTGATTCCAGGGTTTATATGTCACACCCCAAAACCAAGAATGGCGGAAACGTTCTGGGGCGGAGGACGTCATGTAAAGTATCACAACACAGTAAATGTAAATAAGCAAACAACATCATCCATTGCGTTAAATATAAAATTTTAATACAAGCGTGTTCCGTACAGTTTTAAACACCAAAAATATAATTTAAATCAAAATAGTATGATGAGTCTTGAATGCGCTCCATCTTCTCAAAAGCTAGCATCGGTACCTGACTACTGATGACCTGAGAATACAAGTTATTTTGAAAGAGTTTATCAGCATTAAGCTGGTGAATTCATAAATATTTTAGTGTCGAGGTTTGTTATCAAACGTTTGAACCTGTTGCAAGTATGAGTTGTAAATGTATGTAAGTGTTGTAAAAGTTTGAATCTCTCAGAAAAACCTATATTTTCTGTTAAAGTAGCCCTCTACCAAGGCTTAACTGTTTTGTATGCTCGTTTGATGTAAAAGTGTGTAATTTCCCAAGTGTAACTATCATTTAACAAAATATAGTTTGTAATAAAGTTTAAGTGAGGTTGTCACCAAATGTAATGGGTTAAATTATTGTAGTACGATGTTTTGTTTTATTGAACTACTGCTGTACTAACTACCTTAAACCGGGTTTATATTAAGTATCGTGTGATAAATTGCACCATACTATCGACTGGTAACATCGACAACGTATAGTCGAAAAATAAGGTTGACGTTTGGCACCCGCAGACCTGTCGGTCCCACTGTAGCTAGCAGCGAGGTGTAGGATAGTCAATCCGTATAGATCTATACGCAAACTCACGCTCTCCCTCCAAGAGACTCTGGCTACAACTCGGGTCATGTCAATTAAGACATGCTCCCATACAGTGGATCACAATTGTTAACGTATTCGTGTATATGCAATATAATGTTACTTGTTCTAGTATCATTGTAATATGTTCTCTTAGTAATAAGTATTGACTCCTGAATGAACTGACTCGTTGATCTAGAAATTGTAGTAGTATGATCCCGTGTTACCCGATGGTAACTACTAACGAGGTGCTGATAAGTATGAATATGGAAGTACTTTTATGTCAATACATGTATATATGATATATAACTAATATTGAAACGACCCTCGGATGGTCACCCAAAATTCCACCAGACCACATCAAATCGAGGAAAAGGAAATAGGACAGGTGGCTTTCCTAAGCCCTTTAAACATTATTTATCATTACATATATGGGCATGCAAATTTATAGGTAGTAAACAAAGTTTCAATAAAGTATTTGATAAGTAAAAGAGTTGTAAAACATTTTGAAGTAAAACAGTTTGAACAGTGATAAAATCATTGGTTTCCTAGTTATTAATCACATGTGATCGAAGCAACAACTATAAGTGTTTAACGTGTATTCCCCCCCCCCCCATAAAGTATTTAAAACATTTAAAAGCATTTCAAAGGTTGAATAAAGGGGTATGAACTCACTTGGAGTTTGAAGATAGCGAGATCGAAAACCGGGCAGAGTTTCGTCTCGGGAAACGGATTTTCTCGGGAATCTTGGGAGT